GAGTTAGCCACCTTTGTCATTGGGCTTGCAAACTTGACTCTGATCAATATATTTGGGGAGAATCCATCAGAAATGCAAGATATCCTACAGATAGCTGTCCAAGCCTTTCTGAGGATGAAACAAGTGAAAATTTCCCCCAGGTGCATATTTGTCCATCAGAATGTAGGAGAAGTGACAGCTAAAGACCAAACTACAGAAGGACGAAGGCGGTTAGAGCAGAGGCTAGATGAAATGGCAGCACTGGCTGCTAAACAAGAAGAGTGCTCAGATGTCACTCACTTCAGTGATGTCATCAAGTTTGATGTCAATAATCACGTGTACTACTTTGCTCACCTTTGGGATGGCAATCCCCCCATGGCCCCTCCCAATCCTCGTTATAGCCACAATGTCCAGGAACTGAAAAGTACAATTCTTTTAACTGCCAAACAGGAATCCAAGGGAAGCATCATGAAGATATCAGATGTAAAATTCAGGGTTCAAGATTTGTGGAGAGCCCTGGTAAGTGAGAACTTCATTTTCAGTTTCAGAAACACCCGGGAGGTCATGGCCATGAGCAAATTGGAAACCATGTATAACCACTGGACCTGGGAGCTCCGGAGTCATATGTTGGACTTGCAGAACCAGCTTCACAATCAGATTCAGAATAGAAAAATTCTGACACTCACATCAAGCATAATTGAGTGTCCAGTTACAGAGAAATATGAAACCATCAAGCAAGTACTTGAAAAATATTTTACTGAAGACCCAGAGAGAGAGATACTTGTCCAATGGAAAGCCTATTTTGAAAATAAGCTACTAATCCTTAAAGAGTCACTTATTTCAGACACCAAGAGAAAAGCCCATGAGCTTATTCATCTCAAAAAAAATCAAGAACAACTAGAACAGAAAAAGACTGTATATGAAAATGAATTATTGAAGAAGAGCCAAAACTTGGCTTTAAGAGTAAAAGGTAAAAAGTTGAGTGATGAAGAATTATATGAGAAATTCAGTCAACTTTGGGGAAAATGGGTTTGTGAAGTGTCCTCAAATCTCCCTCAAGCCACAGAGCCTAAAATTGATGTGCATGCTGAAAACATCCTTTTGGATTATTTCAGAAAAGAGAAAAACATAGTAGAAAAACTAAAGAGAAATATTGGAAAGAATTTTCAGCTAGATTTTGGAAAACATGTCAAGATGTGTAAGGGTGTATTTTTCACAAAGAGTTTAGAGGCCTGTGATAAAGTATCCATTGATATGACTACTGATCGTATTTTTTCAAGATTTAATGAATATATTGAAAATATTACGAATCAACAACGTGATTATGATCAAAGTGACTTCCATCAAATCCTGAGAATAATAGAAGAGGAAGGGAAATCTGAACACACCAAGAATAGATATACATTTACAAGTGAATACAACATTGAATTATCTTCATATTTATTTCAAAAAGCAACAAAGGATTTTATGGAAAGGCATTGGGCATTTAGGAGAGCAAATGATCCTGTAAAATATCTAGAACAAAAGAAAGACGATTTTTTCATGAGTTTCAAGATCTCCTGCCAAGGTGCAACCTCCATCACATGTTTTGTAGATTTTCTGTGGCAAAAGCTCACTCCTGCTGTCTCTGCTACCATCCAGGGGAAAATGGTCCCTAGAATAGCTGGGGAGATAAGAGCCTCCTGCCCTGCATTCAATGGAAACAGGTCTAACCTGGAGAAACACATTCTCATCTCTCTAGCAGAAGAAGAAAATTTTGAAAATTATTGGCAATACATTTACAATCCAAAATCATTTTGTAGGAGTTACATTGAGAACTATACCAAAAAGTACTGTTCAGAAAACAGAGATAAAAAAATGAAGACTTTATTCAAAACAAGTCTTGATGACATCAAGAATACCATCCTCTCTGCCATTCATGAATCCACAGCAGTAGCCAAAGACAGAAGCAGCACTGCATCTGGGTGGCTGGATTTGTTCTGTGATCACCTGGGGAACAACTTGATTTTCCCACGAAGAGACTTGATAAACATTGAGCACCAAGAGATAAAAGATATGGATTTTCTCAAAGAAGCCATGAGTGCAAGTTTGGATCCTGCAATGAAGAAGGTGGAACAGAACTTGTCAAGTATGCCTATAGAAGAAATGGTTCCTGAAATTGAGAAAATCCTCTCTGAACATCTCTGTGGATGTTGGAAACAGTGTCCCTTCTGTAATGCAATTTGTACAAACACAATTCCTGAACATGATGGAGACCACAGTGTTCCATTTCATCGTCCTCAGGCTGTCAGTGGAGGCCAGTGGTATAGAACAGACCACTTTGTCATTGATTGTTGTACTAGTTTAGTAGCAAGTAATAATTTGCTTGTTTTAAGAGATGATTGGATGATCCCATTTAAGAACTATCGGGAGGTAGGAGGGGATTATGCCACATGGAGCATCACACCAGATTCATCCACCCAGCCATACTGGAAATGGTTTGTCTGTCACTTCAGAACAAAATTGGAAGAAAAATATCAGCTAAAATTTATAGATAAAGGTCAAATCCCCTATGAATGGGACAAAATCACTAAGCAGGAAGTGCTTAATGACTTGAAAAAATAATCTTCAATGACCACATAAACACCTTAGCATCGGTACAAAGTCACAGTACCAAGCAACCTCAAAATATATCCTCCTTACAACTAGAGCTTTACATATTCCACTTTGTAAAGGAAATGTTTAAAAAGTGATTAAATATCAATTGAAGAATTTAAGAGTTCCTTGAAAAATACTTGATATCTCTCTGTCTCAATCCATTTGGATTAGAAAGAAATTACTAAAATACGAGCATATGACAAAATCTAAATATCTAGTTCCTATTTTGAAATATTGCTCTACATATTTTAAAATATGTAATACCTCAGAAAAAAATTATCTTCACACGGAAAATTTTAAGTCATTTCATGATATTGCAAATTTCTCTACAGTAACTGCATGGCTGTTGAACTAATATACAAGTCTTGACAAGCAACTACAAATAAACTTTCTCTACTTCACTGAATTTTTTCACTCATTCAATCCATGAAGAAAATTTACTCACCCTGAAACACAAAAACATTCAAGGAAATTTCATGATTCCCATGTATAGTATTTTATAGGGATATTTTATTCTAGCAGAGAACAAACCAGAGACTTGACGAAGATAAAGTCTTCATCAAGTCAGGAAACATTATCAGGCAAACATAGGAAATAGAAGTTAAATCACTGCTTCATTTAATCAACATTCTCTTCTTTCTGGTTTCTTGGAACTTTCTTTGTCATGTTACAAAAAGTTGAGTTATTCACAAAGTTTAGATCTTCAAAGCTAGTGTTATCTGCCTGAGATTACCTCCTGAAACAAGTGTAATGATAACCATGTAAATGGGACCCTATCCATCAAGTCTGTGGACAAGGTCAAATTAGATAAAGCCGTTAATGATTATAAACACAACCTCTAAAGAAAAAAAATGAAAAAATATCTACTTTTTATAAAAATTTCATAATTATTATTCAATCTTAATTGGGTTCTCACATTTTAATAAAAATTTATATTTTATGTATAAATATATATTTCATGTATAAAATGCAGAGGAGTGCTTATCTACAATGAGACATATTTTTGCTTCCTTATACTTTTTGGGTGCTAGGGGAATCACCCTTCTACAAACCTATACCTTATGCTCAGTTCTCAAAGCTGATGATTTAAAAGAATGCTGAGGCAAGAAGAAAATGTCTTCATTTTAGACATAAAAATACCCTTTGGTTTCCATTTACTGCTGCAGGCTCTACCTATCTATGGACAGTGAAAAGACACGACCAAAGCCACAGTAGTTAAACAACGTAGATCTTCAGAAATGGGAGATAGGAATGCTGACTCCATCACCTTTGTCCACCACAGGACTATAAATATATTATCAGTTTCAGATCTACTGACTAGAATCTCCATAAGTTTTCTGTTTGTTTTTGCTGTAGCACTGTGGATTAAACCCTGGCATTACACATGTCAGGAAGCACATTATTACTCAACTACAGCATTTTTTTTAAAATTTCAGAGATGCAGTTTCATTAAGATGCAACCTGTGAGCCTCCTGCCTCAGGCTCTCAGGTTGCTGGGATTAAAGGTATCAGAAGTATTGAAAAAAAATTGTGAAGGATATAGGTGTTCTTGAACAGAATGATTTTTTTCTGAAAAATAGTCTTGGTGAGAGTTGGGAAGAACTCTTAATGAGATCAACCTGATATAGTGTTGGGAACAGAAGCTCTGCACAGCATGGTGCCTGTCACACTCATCACTGCAAGCTTTGAAAAGGCTTAATGTTCAATTGACATTAGCTGAATGCTTTTTATATTGAATGAATCAATATAGTCTTCAACTAATAAGTCTCATATATTACTTTTGATTTTAAAGCCAAAAATATTTTGCAAAAGTAAAAAGGCCTCTAATAAATTCCTCGGGTATGTTAACAGTGTGATTCTTGCATGAGATACCAAGGCCAAACTAGAGAGATGACAAAAATATTGGGAAGAGGTAAATTATAATAAAAGAAGATGACTATGTAGAGATGGTCTTTTCTGTGATACAATTAGGGAAAATAATCAAGTTGGTGCAGGAAATGGGAGAAATAATAGTGTTAGTATTTTGGGTCTCATTAAGGAAGAGACCTCAGGAACAGTGGAGCAGGGGAGAGGAGTCAGTGGGGATGAAAACATCAAGATGTAGAGCACTGGGTCTGATTGAAGGTCACAAAATTAGAGTTAAATAGGTGCAAGGTTAGTACGGGTAGGATTCTCATGGGTAGCAGAATGAGCCTCAGTCACTGAGGTGAGGAGCAGAGAAAAAGGAATTGGGGGTCACCACATGAGCAGATTTCAGATGTTCCAGTCATTAAGGCAAAGGTGCCAAGTAGCGTGGTAAAGGAATCACAAGGCCAATAGAGATGGAGCAAGGATGGTAATGGACCTAGAAGAGTATGGAAATTCATGACAGGATGTAAGTTATTCACTTATATGTGGACTCCAAAAATGAGAACTCATAGAAATAGAGAGTAGAACGCAGGTTACCAGAGACTGAGGACAGGGTGGGGGATAAGGGGAAAGTTTGGTCAAAAGGGAAAGTTTCAGTTAAAGAAGAGGAAAAATTCTGGTGATCTATAAAACCAGGTGACTAGTAACTATGCCAATTATTATCATTATTATTATTGCTATCTTACTGAAATGTGGTTGTGTTTATAGTCTGCTCACTTATAAGAAGCAAGTCCAAGCTTTCAATTTTAATCCAAGTATGAGTTGCATAAGTGTTTGTAGTGCTCGTTTCTCAGTCTGCGTTTTATTTTCTCTAAATGTAATCTTAAAATAAAGTAGAATTAAAATAATCATGCTTAATGAATTATACAATACAAAATTTCAAACAGTGAAATTTAAGTGTCATAACCCCCCCCCAAAAATAGATAAGTACATAAAGTTATGGATATGTTAACTTGCCTAATTTGCTTATTCCTCAATGCATGCATGTATAAAAGAATCAAATTGTACCCCATATTATGTACCTTTATTATCTGTTAATAAAAATTAAAAATAAACTGAATAAAAATGATTTACATAAAATACAATGGAAAACTGCTTCAAGATTTTTTCAGGAGATCTCTTTTTCTTAGAGACAGATAATATGAACCCAATAACATCTACAGAATGTGGTATGTCTAAAAATTGACCCCTTTAAATTTGGGGTTGCTTTCGTTGGAACACTGAAGATAGACTTGTGAAATGCATAATTGTCATTTTATTCTTACCTTTATTCTTACATTGAGAGAATGGTTATTCTCTCAATTCCAACTTTCAGTAAATTCTAAACAAGCTATTCAAACCTTTATTATTGTTGTATATGAGTTTAGAGGGCAATAAAGAGTATTACATTACATTATATTGTTTTGTATTATACTATATCATATGTTTGTGATGAAAACCAATAATGCTATCATTGTAGTATTGGTATCTGGGTGAACTTGGACTTGTAATTTAACCCCTGTGTCTTCAGGCATCCTAACTCTGCAATGATAGGATTCTCATTAATAAATGATGGCTACTTAGAAGGCATGGAGGACAATGCTACACATGGAGTAAGTTCACTGTAAGTGTCAGTTGTTATGTCATGCTGTCTATCCCAGGTTCCTTTTCCTTTGCTTTTGAATACAATTTTACTAGAAGCACACCAATAGATGAAGTAGTCTCACTGGAAGTTCATTGACAATAGTATTCAACATGGCCTCTTTGGGAACTCACACTTGATAATATAGTCTTTAAAATGTCTAATTAATACTTAATAACTTAAAATGCACTTCAGAATATCAAAGTTCTTCAGTACTTTATTAATAGCTATATGTATTTCAAACACAAATTAACCAAAGGCAACCAAGTCAATTTTGTAATGTTTTTTGTCAGTGTGAAATAGATCTCAGGTTCCCCATGCCTTAGATAGATCTTAGGTTTCTCATGCCTGAGAAATAAATTTGAATGCACACAATTTGTTTTAGAAGTTATTCCTGTAAAAAAATGAATAATGGAGAGAGGAAACAAGAAGAGGTGGGATTCAAGATGAAGAAGGGAATTAGTGGATTTAAGTCAAGTGTTGACTATTAGGGAATGCTAGTTTGCTACTGTAGTTAAGAGCAGGAACTTAGCATCAAGACTGCTTAGATGTGTATGTAAATAAAGACCCCATCACTTTGCTAGCTAAATGACCTGGGATAAGTCAGCATGTTTCTGCTTCATGTGCTTCTTCTATAAAATTCTGCTATCTCATAAAGGTGTGAAGATGACTTGGAAATAATATGTATGCCTGGCTCTTGGTATATGTTCCCGTGTTAGCTGGTTGTAGTACCAGGGAACAACATCATGTTTATAGAAGTCATTGTGCCATTATTATTACAGCAATGAAGTGCAGTGAGGTCTCCACTCAAGGCTCAGTTGCAACTTCCTGAAGAAGCAGATCTAACTTTCATATTTTGAGCCAAGTAAGGTTTATAAATATGTTTGTCTGACTGTTTTCTCTATATTTTATCTAAATAGAATATTAAAAATATAATAAAAACATAAAGAAAAAATGTATGAGGAAGAGAAGGAAGAAAGGCTGAGTAAGAGCATTATAAGTTTCTTTTGACAATAGCCAGTCACCTCCAATGTAATTATTTTTGAGGCAATGCAAGGGATTTACATAAATTGGGGAAAATGTGAACCTGATAATGTTCTCCTAGAAACAACAGCCCTAATTGTTAAATATCTTTGGTTCTTCTCCTTTGAACAAAGAAAAGTATCAGGTATATCTGTTACTTTACCCTGTAATTCCCATTATCTCCACTGTGGGGGAACATAAGTGTACCACTCAGATCCTTCTTCAAGAAAGGGTTTGCTGCCCACATGAGGAAAGTAAAGGAAGCAGCCACTCATCAGTTGTCACATCTGCCTCAATTGAAGACAACCTTTTCCCTGGGGTCAGGCTCTCCTGAGCAGCTTGCATCTATGATTGAGTGAGACACAGAGGCCCTGCCATGTTGGCCTGACAAGGGTGCTCTGATGGGCTCCACTCACTCCAGAGTTTCTGCCTTGTCCTGGAAGCATCCTGAGGCCTGCACCACAGTTCAATTTCTCCCA